TGTCCCCCGAAGTAGATCCAACGTCAATCACGGTGGCGGCGGGGACCCGAAAAAAGAAAAAAAAAAAAAAAGTTCCGTTCCAGCCTTGTGAAGAAAAGGCTAGCTGACATTTCTTATATAGGTATGGGGCGGGGCCAGCCGGGGACATCATCCCCGCCCCTTACCTATTTGAGAAATGTCACCCTGTCTCTCCACTGAGGCTAACTAGCTGAATGCAGGAGACAGTCTGACATTTCTTATATAGGTATGGGGCGGGGCCAGCCAGGAACAGCAAGCATGTGACATGGGGCGGGTCACTCGGATGATGTCCCCGGCTGGCCCCGCCCCAAACCTATATAAGAAATGTCAGCTAGCCTTTTCTATCACAAGGCTGGAAGCCTCCGACGGGAGCGGAACTTTTTTTTTTTTTTTTTTCGGGTCCCTGCCGCCATCGTGATTGACGTTGGATCTACTTCGGGGGACATTGTTTTAATAAAGGACTTGTCAAAGACCCTGTACTGTGTTTTTTTTTACACCACACTTTGTTTTTTTGTGAATGAGTCGCGGGACCATGTACCGCAGACTCATTCACGTAGGGGGGGCCGGGATCAGGTAGCCCCCTTGTTAAAGGGGGCTTCCAGATTCTGATAAGCCCCCCCGCCCGCAGACCCCCACAACCACTGGCCAGGGTTGTGGGGAAGAGGCCCTTGTCCTCATCGACATGGGGACAAGGTGCTTTGGGGGGGGGAGCCCCCCTGCCCCAAAGCACCCCCCCCATATTGAGGGCTTGTGGCCTGGTATGGTTCAGGAGGGGGGGGCGCTCGCTTGTCCCCCCCCCCTTTCCTGACCTGCCGGGTTGCATGCTCGGATAAGGGTCTGGTATGGATATTGAGGGTGATCCACGCTGTTTTTTTTTTTTAATTTCAGCGTGGAGTTCCCCCTTAATATCCATACCAGACCTGAAGGGCTTGGTAAGGATGAGAGGGGGACCCATGCTGTTTTTTTTTTTGTTTTTTTTTATTGCGGACCTTTATTTTTACATTCAGCTGTCAAAATAAATATTATCTAGACCTTCGAAATAAGTAAAATCATTACAGAAATAATTATAAAGGATAAGAAACAAAAATAGAATCACTAGAACTAAGGAAATCAAATTACAATACATGAAGATATGCCGAGTGCTGTTTGTTTAACACAGGAGACGCGACCGAGTGCCGGCTGTCAGAGGACTCCACACACAGGAGACGCCACCGAGTGCCGGCTGTCAGAGGACTCCACACACAGGAGACGCCACCGAGTGCCGGCTGTCAGAGGACTCCACACACAGGAGACGCCCGAGTGCCGGCTGTCAGAGGAATCCACACACAGGAGACGCACCCGAGTGCCGGCTGTCAGAGGAATCCACACACAGGAGACGCGACCGAGTGCCGGCTGTCAGAGAAATCCACACACAGGAGAGACGCGACCGAGTGCCAGCTGTCAGAGGACTCCACACCAGGAGTGCCGAGTGCTGGCTGTCAGAGGACTCCACACACAGGAGACGCGACCGAGTGCCGGCTGTCAGAGGACTCCACACACAGGAGACGTGACCGAGTGCCGGCTGTCAGAGGACTCCACACACAGGAGACGTGACCGAGTGCCGGCTGTCAGAGGAATCCACACACACCGAGTCAGAGGACTCCACACGAGTGCCGGCTGCTGTCAGAGGACTCCACACACAGGAGACGCGACAACCGAGTGCCAGCTGTCAGAGGACTCCACACACAGGAGACGTGACCGAGTGCCGGCTGTCAGAGGACTCCACACACAGGAGACGTGACCGAGTGCCGACTGTCAGAGGACTCCACACATACAGGAGATGTGACCGAGTGCCGGCTGTCAGAGGAATCCACACACAGGAGACGTGACCGAGTGCCGGCTGTCAGAGGACTCCACACACAGGAGACGTGACCGAGTGCCGGCTGTCAGAGGACTCCACACACAGGAGACGCAACCGAGTGCCGGCTGTCAGAGGACTCCACACACAGGAGACGTGACCGAGTGCCGGCTGTCAGAGGAATCCACACTGAGATTTACTATTGGGCAGTGGCTAAAAAGCAAACGCCCATGGCAGACACCTAAAATGTGTTCTGCACATGCGCATTTATATCGGCTAAAGACACTGCACGGGCGCCTAGATTTTCACTGTGTCGATTTCCTTGAAAAAAAAACGATTTTTAACACATTCTTAATTTTTTTGGAAATAGCAGATATTGTTTAAAGTGAAGTCCTGATATTTGGCAAAGCAAATTTCTAAGTGAACGTCTCTGCAGTGATTTTTCATGGTGTTAGACGTGCTTCTTCGCAAGTCTGCTTTGTGAGTCTGATTCCGGGCGTGTGTCTTTTTGTGAATTCGATTGGGCATCTGCTTATGGGCGCTGCTCAACAGTAAATCTCGTTGCGGGGTAAAAATAGACGGTCGCCCATTAAAATTGGGCGTTCGCCCATGAATATGCGCCCACGCCCAATAGTAAATCAGGGCCGTGGTGTCTTCCCTCCTAGCTGGTCAATGGGCTGGCTATCCATCTAGCAGCAATCCATATGCTGGACGTGGTCCCTGCTGGTCCTTGGGGGCATCGTTCCTGCTGTGGCTGTTAATAGGGCTATAAGCGCTTGCTTCTACTGATTGGAAAATATCTTTTTCCTCAATCAAAGCTATGAGAAATTTAATCCACATGAACCAACTTTTATTTTCAAACATTTATGGATGATAAGTACTGTTATTCCTTTATGACTGTGAGGTACAACATTTCTTAGCCTTTCTTTGATGACTCTTTAAATAAACCTAGTCGTCTCTTTTTTCTAGACTCATATTCAGCATTTGTCACCGTATATTCAATGATGTTGTTATGCGCATGTATACCTTTAATGTTTCAATAAAACTTTATGGAATTAAAAAATAAAATAAAATATAAAAAAAAAATGCAGATCACATCCCAGATGAGGAAAGGTTTGGACTGGTTATTGAGAGAATGGAATGTTACCACTCTTTACTCACAACACAGTATTGGTAGTCCAATCGGATGCCAGAAAAGGAGCTTTGGAAGCCCTATGCAAGGACATTTGGACCCAGGAGCATTGGCTGTTCAATGCTTCCAATATGGTTTCCAACACACTGGAATTGATGGTAGCTTTCTAGGCCCTCCTGGCTTTCAGAATTCAGATTTAGGGTGCAGCTGTTCTTATAAAGCAAGACAACACAAGAGTGGTGACCTATATCCACAGGCAAGAGGACACCCACAGTGCTTCTCTTATGAGGAAGGTTGCACCAATTATGGAATGGGCCCAATCCAACTTACAACTGCTAACAGCAGTGTATGTGCTTGGCCAGATGAATATCAAGGTGGACTACCTTTCCCGAGTGAACTGGGACAACAATGAATGGGCACTATTACTGCAAGTCTTTCAGGATATGGTGGCATGGGCCTTTCTCCCAGAGGTGGAACTGCTTGCTTCCCAGAAAACACCAAACTTTCAGTCAGCCATAAGTGATAGGGGTGGATACACAACATTATTATTATTATTATACAGTATTTATAAAGCGCCGATAGTTCGCTCAGCGCTGTACATTACAAAGGGGGACAGAACATGTGACAGAACAATACCAATACAATGCAAAACATGAGGGGATCCAGGGCCCTGCTCTTTCGAGCTTACAATCTAGGAGGGAGGGGATGGTGGCACAGGAGGAGATAGCTGTGGGGGATGGAGTGGTAGGAAGAGTGGAGGAGATCGGCAAGTTAGCAGGGGGTGGGGTAGGCTTCCCTGAAGAGATGGGTTTTCAGGGTGCGCCTAAAGGAGAGGAGAGTAGGTGATAATCTGATGGGTTGGGGCAGGGAGTTCCAGAGGGATGGGTGACACCCTGGAGAAGTCCTGGAGGCGGGCATGGGAGGAGGAGACCAGGGAACTAGAAAGAAGGAGGTCTTATGAGGAGCGGAGTGCGTGCTGGTGTGTTGGGGGGTACTTGGATATTAGGTCAGTGATGTAGTTCGGGGCAGTGTGGTGGACGGCTTTGTACGTCAGTGTTAGGATTTTGAATTTGATCCGTTGCGCAATCGGAAGCCAGTGGAGGGATTGGCAGAGGGGGGTGGAGGACACTGAATGGAGGCCAGTGGAGGGATTTGCAGAGGGGGGGTGAGGACACTGATTGGAGGCCAGTGGAGGGATTGGCAGAGGGGGGTGGCGGAGACGGAGCGGTTGGAAAGGTGAATGAGTCTGGCTGCCGTATTCAGGATCGACTGAAGCGGGGATAGCCAGTGGCGAGGCAGGCCAGTGAGGAGGGAGTTGCAGTAGTCGAGTCGTGATATGATGAGGGAGTGGATGAGCTGTTTAGTGGTTTCTGGGGTTAGGAACGTGCGGATTTTGGCGATGTTGCGGAGGTGGAGTCTGCACGAGCTTGTTAAAGATTGGACTTGGGGCTGGAAGGATAGGTTGGAGTCCAGAATAACACCAAGTACTCTGGCCTGCTGCGGGGGCGGGTTTGATGGTGGCGTTGTTGGACATGATGGAGAAGTCAATGGGGGGTGGTGTCCGGGCTGGAGGGAAGACAAGAAACTCGGTCTTGGAGAGGTTCAGTTTAAGGAAGTGGAGCGACATCCAGTCTGATATGTCGCTCAGTAGGTGTGTGATTCGGGCGGAGACCAAGGGGGGTGAGGTGGGGGGTTGAGAGATAGATTTGTGTGTCGTCGGCATAGAGGTGGTAGTTGAAGCTGTGAGAGTGTATGAGTTGGCCAAGGGAGGAGGTGTAGATGGAGAAGAGAAGGGGCCCGAGGACGGAGCCTTGAGGGAGGGGGAGGTGGTAGCATTATAGGTAACGCTGAAAGAGCGTTGTGACAGGTAGGATGAGAGCCAGGAGAGAGCAGAATCTCTGAGGCCAAGGGAGTGTAGTTTTTTGAGGAGGAGGGGGTGGTCGACTGTGTCGAAGGCCGCAGAGGGGTCAAGGAGTAGGAGCACTGAATAGTGGCCTTTAGCTTTGGCGGTTAGCAGATCGTTGGAGAGTTTGAGTAAGGCAGTTTCGGTGGAGTGTAGGGGACGGAAGCCGGACTGTAGGGGGTCGAGGAGGTTGTTGTCATGAGGTGAGAGCATAGTCCGGTGTAGACTAGGCACTCGAGGAGTTTGGATGTAAATGGGAGCAGGGAGATGGGTCTGAGGTTGTTTGGGTCATTGGGGGGTCCAGGGAGGGCTTTTTTAAGTATGGGGGTGATGTGTGCATGTTTCAGAGGGGAGGGGAAAGTGCCGAAAGAGAGGGAGAGATTAAAGATGTGTGGTGAGGGAGTGTAGGACGGAGGGGGATCGTAGGAGTTGTGAGGGGATAGGGTCGAGGGGGCAGGTGGTGAGGCGGGCATCAGAGAGGATCTTGGAGATTTCCTCGATGGTAGTAAGGTCAAAGGTGTGAAGTGTTGGGGGGGCTTCAGTATGAGGAATGAAGGGTGGGGTGGAAGTGGAGGTCAGAGCAGTGGTGGGGCCTCCGATCCCAGTAAGCCTCAACCTTCTACACAAAGTGCATCAGGAGAAGTTGACTGTCCTGGCAGTAATTCTGGATTAGCCAAGCAGACCCTGGTATCTGCTGCTCTCACTGAGCACACCTTCTGCCGGACCTGCTGACAGAAAGACCCATCCAAATTTCGACTATGGAGAGACTCAAACTGATGGCTTGGGTCTTGAGAGGCAAAAGCTAATCAATATGACAAGCTTTGACATGGTCACAGATAACCTGATTAAGGCCAAGATGGACAGCACAAATAGAATATGGAAGTTTGCATGCAAGCACACAATTTTTCACCAGTCTCTCGGAGAATGTGCCACATGCTGGAGTTTCTTCAAATGGGTTTCTTCAAGCAGAATCCACCTAAATCCACCTAGATCTTTCATATTCTCAAAATGGGTCTTGCCCCTGTTATTAGATTTCCTTTTGCCTGACCCCTTTAGTCATCCTGCCTCGCTGTGGCATCTCTCTCTCTTAAGGCAATGTTTCTGGCAATCAGCCAGAAGGGTATCAGAGCTGGCAGACTTAGGGTTTAAAGAACCCTTCCTCTATTTCTTTCCAGATAGATTGGTGCTTAGCCAGATGCTTGGATTCATACCCAAGGTGGCCTCAGATTCCTCATGATGCAAGAAATGACACTTTCTATGTTCCTTTCGGAAGATTCCCAGAAGAAACTGGAAACTTACCAAGTATACAGATAATTCTATTGCAGGGTGCAGGGAGAGCAGATATAGTGAATGCAGGATCCGTAGAGAGCCGATATAATGAATGCAGGTCAGGGGAGACCGGATATAGTGAATGCAATGCAGACTGGATATAGTGAATGCGGGGTCCGGGGAGACCGGATATAGTGAATGCAGGGTCCAGGAAGAGCGGATATATAGTGAATGCAGGGTCTGGGGAGACCTGATATAGTGAATGCAGGGTCCTGGGAGACCTGATATAGTGAATGCGGGGTCCAGGAAGACCGGTTATAGTGAATGCAGGTTCTGGGGAGACCAGATATAGTGAATGCGGGGTCCTGGGAGACCGGATATAGTGAATGCGGGGTCCGGGCAATATACACTTAGCAACAAGAGACACACCAACAGACAGTCCCATCAGAAGGGAGGGCTGCTGGAGACACCCCCCACCAAGCCAATATACATAAACACATACATCCCATAATAGTTTTTCCCAAGCAAGACACACTAGAACAATGGGATACAACCACATGGCATTAAACAATCAACAACCCCCCACCCCAATATTAGGACAGATCACCCTGTACCCCTAACAGGCACAGGGGGACTTACACATTGAAAAGGAAAGGTGATCTTATATAACATTCGATTACAATATGACATACGTGGCAATTGTATATGCTATATTAATTTTTTTTTCATTTGCTATTTTTTTTCCCACAAAAGTCAATGTTTACTGCAGAGTACAAAAGCATGGTGACAATGGACTTGGCTGTAATGTGGATTACCCAGAACCCCGATCTTCTGCACAATGTCACCCCCTGGGCTATCTTATATTTAGTACTTGTAATGATGTAATGAAAACTTTGAGATATGTCATGAAGATATTGTCTGGAGAGAGAATGAAGCTCCCAACTATTACTGTAAGGGACTTGGAGAAGTGGCCGGTTTTATTGGTGATGGTGCTTTCCATACAAGTCATGTGATGGCCCAGCTACTTAGCCTGTATCGGTATACACAGGTAAGTGATCCCTTCAGTATATTATGTATGTAACATGATGTGTTCAATAGATGGCTCTCTACATTCTAGGTGGCATTTCTGTACATTCTACGTGGAACGTCTCTACATTCTAGGTGGCATTTCTGTACATTCTACGTGGAACGTCTCTACATTCTAGGTGGCATGTCTGTACATTCTAGGTGGAATGTCTGCACATTCTGGATGGAATTTCTGTACATTCTAGGTGGCATGTCTGTACATGCTTGGTGGAATTTCTGTACATTCTAAATGGAATATCTGTCCATTCTAGGTGGCATTTCTGTCCATTCTAGGTGGAATTTCTGTCCATTCTAGGTGGAAGGTCTGTAGATTCTAGATGGAGTTTCTGTCCATTCTAGATGGAATTTCTGTCCATTCTAGGTGGAATTTCTGTCCATTCTAGTGGAAAGTCTGTAGATTCATTCTCTACATTCTAGGTGGCATTTCTGTACATTCTACGTGGAACGTCTCTACATTCTAGGTGGCATTTCTGTACATTCTACGTGGAACGTCTCTACATTCTAGGTGGCATGTCTGTACATTCTAGGTGGAATGTCTGCACATTCTGGATGGAATTTCTGTACATTCTAGGTGGCATGTCTGTACATGCTTGGTGGAATTTCTGTACATTCTAAATGGAATATCTGTCCATTCTAGGTGGCATTTCTGTCCATTCTAGGTGGAATTTCTGTCCATTCTAGGTGGAAGGTCTGTAGATTCTAGATGGAGTTTCTGTCCATTCTAGATGGAATTTTGTCCATTCTAGGTGAACATTCGGGTGGAATTTCTGTCCATTCTAGGTGGAATTTCTGTCCATTCTAGGTGGAAAGTCTGTAGATTCTAGATGGAATTTCTGTACATTCTAGGTGGAATGTCTGCACATTCTGGATGGAATTTCTGTACATTCTAGGTGGAAGGTCTGTAGATTCTAGATGGAATTTCTGTCCATTCTAGGTGGAATATCTGTCCATTCTAGGTGGAATATCTGTATATATTCTAGGTAGAATTTCTGTCCATTCTAGGTGGAATATCTGTATATTCTAGGTGGAATATCTGTATATTCTAGGTGGAATATCTGTATATTCTAGGTGGAATGTCTGCACATTCTAGATGGAATTTCTCTACATTCTAGGTGGAATTTATTCTACATTCTAGGTGTAATTTCTGTAGCTTTACTTTTCTAGAAAAAGTACAGATCCGAAAAATTTAAATTTGAATATTTCAGGAAGGCAGAAGATTGTAATTTGGGGGAAATGATTCAGTGATGATAGTTATCCACAAATTCCACTGGGTGGGTCCCACCACTTTGCAGTTTTAATGGCTTGGATGAGGCAGCAATCCAGGCTGCTCAATCCCACCACATCCCTTTGTAGGTTCTTAGAGTTCTCTTCTGGTTTTTGGATCTAAAACCCAGAATATTAAATTAACATTTAGGAGCTGTAAGAAAACAAGTTGTGGCATTTGTTTACGTCTCCTTTACGTAGTTGCTTTTTAATCTGGACACTTTCATCCCCCTTCCAGTCCGGACACTTTCATCCCCCTTCCAGTCCGGACACTTTCATCCCCCTTCCAGTCCGGACACTTTCACCCCCCTTCCAGTCCGGACACTTTCACACCCCCTTCCAGTCCGGACACTTTCACCCCCCTTCCAGTCCGGACACTTTCACCCCCCTTCCAGTCCGGACACTTTCATCCCCCTTCCAGTCCGGACACTTTCATCCCTTCCAGTCCGGACACTTTCACCCCCTTCCTGTCCGGACACTTTCCCTCCCTTCCTGTCCAGATACTTTCCCCCCTTCCTGTCCGGACACTTTCATCCCCCTTCCTGTCCGGACACTTTCATCCCCCTTCCTGTCCAGGCCAATTTTCAGCTTTCAGCGCTATCACACTTTGAACGACAATTGCGCGGTCATGCAACACTGTACCCATATTAATTTTTTAACATTTTTTGAGACAGAAAAAGCTTTATTTTGGTGGTATTTATTCACCAATGGGATTTTTTTTTTGCTATATAAATGAAAACGTCCAAACATTTTGAAAAAAAGTGTTTTTCTTATAAAATTTTGCAAATAAATATTCTTTCTTCATAAATCTTGGCCAACATTTATTCAGTTATCTTTTTAGATACATTTTTGTTTTTTTTAAATATATTATTAATGTTTTTTTTTTTTTTTAACATACTGTCACCCTAGCAGTACAGGGTCACTATAGTGACACTAATACTTGTGGCGGGTGATGAACATTTTTTTTTTTTTTTTTTTTACTACACACGAATTGCTTTTACACCCATAAAGGCTGTAAAAGCAATAATTTCTCCTTCTCTCTGGCTGCATTCCTGCAGCCATTGAGAAATACTGTGAGAGCTGTGATTGATCACAGCTTGTCACATGGTACAAGGCTGTTGTGAATAGCCCTGTGCCATGTGATCTCTGTGATCATTCACAGATTTCACTAGTAGTAAGCAATTATGTCAGGAAGTGACATCTTTGCTTACTACTGTTCCTGTGATCACTGATTGGCCAATCAGTGATCACATGCTCGGGATCTCACACAGAGCTCCCGTACAATGATCCAGAGGACACACCAGGCTCCGGGTCGCAGTGCTGCGTGCTCCAACGAGCGCGTACAAACAGGGGGCAAGGGGAGACCGTTTATAAAGTCAGAACTGAATGTATCACTTAGGGTATTGTTATGTGCAGACGGGACCCATAATAATAAACGCATCATGGGC